TAAATAAGACGGATGTATGGAAAAATTCTGTGGCTCATGCGATGAAAAAAGAAAATTAATATATTGCCTGATTCAACCTGGACTCGACTGATAATAGGTCTGTTTCTGCAGAAATCACAAACCAGTCAGAGCGAATTTCATTGGTTGAAAACAGTCAGAAACAGTCAGAAAACTAGTTTCAACCAATGAAATTCAGTCTGATTGGTTTGTGATTTCTGCAGAAACAGGCCTGATAGTGACGATTTTGACTGTGATTACTCGTTTTGATTATAAAAATATTGGTTTATTATTGTAATTACATTGAATACTTCACAGAATGGATATTGTATATTATTGTGAAAATATATATGCATTATTATATTATTAAAAATATTAAAAAAGAAACATAACTTTATGGTAGTAAGGTGTGGTAATACAGTCTTTTTTCGTGGAACATTTCTTCCCTTTCTAATACTATAAAAAATCGTTTTTTTTTTATATACATTTATAAAGCACGTTGTTACACGTGCGGACACGGTGGACGACATTTATTAACCAATTTGTTTTCCTTTGTCAATGAAAAAATGAATATTTCGATGCCTATGGATTTCCACGTGACTTCAAATACATCGACAAAACCGCTTTTTTTTATGACGTTTCAATTAACGATGGTTATAATACTTCACTTCCTTAATTAATTTACCGTCTCACTTGACGGAATAAGGAGAACTGATAACAAATATTGTCACTGTTTCAACTTCTTACGAGTGTCCCAAACAAAATTTAAGAAAATTATTCTTGGTAGATATCGATTAATTATTGTATAAATTCGGATGTTCTAGCGAATGAGAACACGTTGAATAAATAAAATAATAAATGAAGATCTTATTACAACGTCGAATTTGCTTTTATGGTAGCCTGTCAATTTAGGTATCTCGGTATTATTCGTTTAAAAAGATTTTGTCAGATTTCGAGAGTTTTGCAATTAGATGACTGGTCGTGAAGAACGACGAGCAAAAGATAAACTTGCCTTCATTAGAGATATTTTGGATAATTGTGTTTAAATTCTACCCAAGCTATACAATCCATGTTTCAATGATAAACTTATTAAATTTAATATGGTATGTATAAAGTTTTGGAGTCCCTGATACTGGAAAAGGCCCTGGAAGTGTTCCCGTTCCGGCTGTTACTAAGAAGAATTATGACATGGCATGGGAAGTGGTCTAGGAGCTAGTAAGTGACTTGACGTGGCAAATGTGACTTGTCATAACTCTCTGACGTCATATCAGATTCAACCAAGGCGTAAAATACGTAAAATGTCTGTTGGGAACAACATCAGGAGAAATGAGCCAGAACTTGCGGAAGATTCCGTGAACGGTAAAGATGTTTTTGGTACGACATTTTATTTTGCTACAGGCACCACAATCGCAAATAATTTACAACAAAAAAAAATTGTGACACCCAATAACCACGACACTTAACGATAATGAGTGAGTATAGCAGTGGTAGTTGAGACTCTAGATCAGGATACGTCTTATAGAAAGACAATTATTGGCCTATGATTGTCTCTTACAATAGGATTGATGTTTTTGTCTGCAATAGCTGCGTTTTTTGGTTTAAAATATATTCTGATTGGGATAAAAACAAATAGGTAATGTAGAAGAAAGAAATTTTTGGAGGAATAATGGCAATTTCTAATTCAGGCTCTCATTAAAGCAAGAAAAAATAAATCTCGAAATGAAGCATCCTGTCTAGTTTTACAGAGGAAACAAAGCAAGAACTTTCAACAACTACGTGTCTAGTTCATCGTTCCATCAAATGGGGTAAAAGAGCAAGGTGTAACTTTTGTCCATCTTAGTGTAATTATAAAATGACGATCCGATCCTAAAATACCTTTGTTGAACACGTGTTACTTGTTATTGTCATAACCAGAAAAAAATTCATGAAAACTGATTAGTAGTGGGTCGTTCAATAATTGTTCTTCTAGCGCTGGAGAAGGTAGGAACAAACCTCTAGTGAATTGTCGGCAAAAATTCTAGTTGCCAGAATAAACGGTTATCAAATAAGTTCCTGAGTTAGATCCAAAGGAAAAACAGCCATCTGTGAAATGTCAAAGTCAACTCCTTATCAACATAATTTTCTATACAAAACAATGATTTCGACGGTTCACATGTTGTCACAAGTGAATTTTGTTGCGAGTAATAAAAAACCATTAATATACCTATCTCTTCTAAATCAGGCCTTCAAGGGTTTATTGTGTCAATCCTACTGGGTGCCCTCCTTGAGTCTCACAGCTTCGAAACAGTAAACGCGTTCTTATTACCACCTTTTTATAACAGTAACAAAACTTTTCAAACTTCTTGATATACCTACACACCTTTATTTCATTTATTATCCAAGAAACCAACAAATATTAAATTAAATATTTAAAAACAGTTGAAAACAAGTAAGTGATGCACACTAACTAGCTTACTAGCTATGATTGCTAATAATGATGAGATACAAGGTTTAAAGCCTGATGTTTACTACAGAGAAATTCGTCAGCATAATAAGTTTAGATTGAAAAAAAAAACCAACCCAAACCATGGATTTACCTATTACAAAGGTAACAGAATTTCCAAGGTTATTTAGATTCTAACTAAAAATAAGTTAGCCTAGGTCCTGGTAATACCACTTCTAATTTTAGCCTTGCTTCAGGGTCACTTGAGTAAAGTAGAACAAAACGTTTTAGTTTCTTTTGCACTTTAAAATAGCAAAATATAAATGTTGCCCGAAATAATTTTCACATAGTTTCCACAAAAAAGTTCAGAATATCGATAAAATAAAATAAACGGATTCTAGAAATCGATGAGCTCTGCTTTTGCTGATTTCAATGATATAAAGTTCGATAGGTTTACCTCTAACAGTTTTCGACAAAAAAATTTATCTGTCTTTGTCATAAGAAACAATTACAATAATAATTGTCTCAGTTAACAACCAGAGATTCACAGGATTCAAGTATTAATATCTTTTTGTTTTTATGACCTAAAACTCTCTGAAATCATATCGCCAAATTTCTCTTTACAATTGATAAACATGTGAGGGTTAAATTCTGAATCTGTGAAAAATTTCACCATTATCCACTAAGGGCGAGTTTATTCAACTTCTGATAAACTGTCAGGTAATGTAATCTGACGAATAGAATCGTAATCTGTAGTTTCATTGGTCGGCCAGTTATCCGTCGACCAATTTGATTATAGATTGGTAAAAGACCCCGCACACCTTATGGGTATTTGGTTTTTTGTCAAACTCAATGAAATTTTGATATGTGTTAGACCTTGACTTCCTGATAAAAAGTTCTAATGTGCCCGAACCAATCCTATGTGTTTGAGATAGAGGTAGTTTAATGTCCAAGAAATGTACAGTAAGAATCATTGCAATTGGTACACACTATATAAACATCCCCCGTAATGTGTTAAAATTTTACTTCATTGACACACAGGTAATGCATATAGACCGTCAGATAGTGACATATTTAGGTGCCCCATTTTCGCATACAAGCCTCGAAGAGGGTTGAAAAGTACATCGATTTTGAGTAGAATTTTACTTATGTTACCCTAAAATGTACTTTTCCATTCGCGACACTCAAGCCAATATGTTTTCTTGCTACCAACTTTGTAGATTTTCATCCTTCCGATGGGCTTTTGTCGAAAAATCGCCCAAAATCTCGATTTTTCCTTACAAGATTACGCCCTTATTTCAAACCTTCAGCCACCTGCAACACCCCCTTCTTTGTTTTCACGAAGCCAGGATTCATTATTTAATCCTTTGGTGAACTCAGCTTGCGAGAAAATATAGGCACCAGGACATCTTTCATTTCTGTTATGGAAAATCGAATTTTCCATACGTTATCCCCAGGAGCCATCCGTGAAAATACCTTCATCCTACTCAAAATCGATGTACTTTTCAACCCTCTTCGAGACTTGTATGCGAAAATGGGGCACCTAAATATGTCACTATCTGACGGTCTAATAGTTTTAATCTGGTTTTGATGAACTGTTGAATGTTGAAGGAAAAAAATATTTGTACACCGTTGGACTGAATAGATTTATTGGTTAGAATTTTGACTTAATACGAGGGATGTTAAATTGCTAATTGCAATGATTCCCACTGCACACATTTTATATGCATTTACATCTACCTGTCACCTCAGCGTGAGGATACCTGTCCATCCTGGTATACTATTATTTGCTATTAGGTTGTATTAACGGTGAATGGATATAAAATGTGTACATTTCTTGGACATTAAAGTACCTGTATCTCAAAAACTAATCATAGGATTGGTTCGGGCCCATGAGAACTTTTTATCAGGAAGTCAAGGTTTAACACATATCAAAACTTCATTGAGTTTGACAGAAAACCAAATACCCAAAAGAGGTGTGCGGGGTCCTTTATCTTACAGATAGTTACCAGCAAGTTAATCTGAAGATAAATAAACCAGGCCTAAATATAATTATTTGGAGAGCGTCTTTGAGCAAGTTTACATTGTAATTAAATCCATATTTCTACATATATCAGTGATAGATCCTGCCGTCGTCGCGCCTATGGTTTACGATTGTTCTAGTGGAATCAGTGTGACAATGAACTATATAAGTTTATTAAAGCAGGCCAATCTGATAAGGCAGTAAAACTATTCATTGGTCAAAGATTCAATACAATATCAGTCACAGTAGTGTTACAGCAACTCAGTAGACATAAGAAATTTCCGCTGACATTATAATCTACTTTATAGTATAAAAATGCTAAGAGAAAAAATTATTGTAGATAAATTTAAAAAATAAACAATAAAATTCAAAACATTTTTCGTGTTCGTAGAGATGTTTTATTTGGCTTTTTTTTTTAAATTGTTAATGATTTCTAATAAATATAAGTATTTATTATAAGCTTTTATAGTCTATTAGATAATTATGTTAAACCTTCATTATTTAATTCATCAAGAATCTACTTTAAGTATCACAATAATTTGATTGGTAGGTACTCACTGTTTTGCTTTGGCGTTGAGCACGTACTGGAGTCTACTAAAGCTAATTGCAAATGTTTGTGAGCTAAATCATATTCTTGAATAACTTTGTACATCAAACCCAATCTAAGATTAACTTCATTGGCTCTCTGGAAACCTGGCGCCACATAGAGCAGTTGTTGAAAGGATTTGATGGACCTAGAACAAAATGAATGATTAAAGAAACTATAATTATACATATTGCAGTTATTCTGCCAAAAAGTCGGTACCCTTATGACTCGCTATATGATATTCAATAATTAGAGATAAAATAAATACAAAGATTTTCATGGCATATTCCAAATAAAGAGCCGGTCAAAAAAAAGAACATCGCTAATTTCAACTTCTAAATTTGAGTTGAGTTAGTTGAAAAACTTTTTTTTCCCGATTTAAAAAAAAATATCACATATCTAGGTAAGCCTATTTTATTGTAAATCGATACCCCATATATACCTAATTTTATGCGAAGTCGTGTTGTCAGTAGGCTCACCCCGAAATAGACTTCCTCAAATCAAAGATAAGGCATAGGCTGAAAATATGGAGAAACCAGAAAAAATACTACTTATAGAGAAATGAAGGATTAGAAACAAAATCACGCCTTTTGCCGGGATGTTTTCAATCGGCTAGGAGGGCTTTTCAATTTTTTTGGGGATACCTATTTCCAAAATCTCAGCTGGATTTCTCTTCTGTTGATATGCATGCCACAAGCCATATCCTCTACAATAGGTGCTTCGTTATCCAAAAAACTATACATATCCTTTTTTTATCAGTTTCTTATCATTCGTTTAAAGCATTTTCCTACTCCTTCTTTAGCTCTTTATGAGCATTTGCTTGATATTGTATAATCAGTTTCCATTATATTGCTTTATCCATAATTTTCTGACCACCCTGTAGATTGGAAAGTCATTGATGTACAGGGTGTCCGAATTTGGATGGTTTTGATAGGAAACATCAATTTCTGAGCGAAATACAAAAAAATGAACTCCGAAGCTCAGGTTTCTCAAAATTTTGATTGGTGCAAACTGCATTTTGATATCTTCAACCGTTTAGCCGCTAGAGGGCGATTCTCGATTTTGAGCAGTACTGTGAAATTTTCATAACTTTTTTGTTTATAAAAATAACTGATTTCCGTAAAAACTTCCTAGAGGCACTTTTTCAAGCAGAATTCAGTGACTTTTCGGTTTTTTCCTATTGGGCCTCGATTTCAAGATATTGACCAAAATCCGATTTTTTTCAATGGGACACCCTAGCTCTCTTAAAAGCTCTGCTTTTCCTGATTTCCATGATATAAATTTCGATAGGTTTATCTCTAACAGTTTTCGAAAAAAAAAATTATTTCGTTTTTTTCCATAAGAAAGATTGTGTTAAAAAAGGTCTTTATATATTTGTAAGGAAAATGAGAAAGGTCTCTTTCTAACTCATTGTTTCTTATGACAAAAACCAAAATATTTTTTTTTCTGGAAAACCTAAGAGATAAACCCATCGATATTTGTATCATTGAAATCAGCAAAAGCAGAGCTTTCTAAAGAGCTATTAATATATAGGGTGTCCCATTGAAAAAAATTGGATTTTGGTCAGTCTCTTGAAATCGAGGCCCAATAGAAAAAAACTGAAAACGTCACTGAATTCTGCTTAAAAAAGTGCATTTACGAAGTTTTGACGGAATTCAGTTATTTTCATAAACAAAAAAGTTATGAAGATTTCACAGTATTGCACAAAATCGAGAATCGCCCTCTAGCGGCTAAACGGTTGAAGATATCAAAATGCGGTTTGCACCAATCAAAATTTTAAGAAATTTGAACCTCGGAGTGGGGGGTTCATTTTTTTATAGCTCGCTCAGAAATTGACGTTTCCTATTAAAACCATCCAAATTCGGACACCCTGTACATGTCATGGAAGTATCGATTTACAATCAAATAAGCTCCAATTTTTCACCCAGAGCTTAGTACTATAAAAATGTTTTTGGTTCAAGAAGATCTTACGTGTTGTTTTCATAATGGTTCACCACTCAAAAAAATCCAAGCTATTTTAGCAGGTAGATTTATTTCATTTCAAACACCAGAGTTACACCGCACAGTATCTTACATAAGACATCAAAATTCGAAATATCACTGAACCCTGAAGAGTATGTAGGTATAGCTGAAGCAAGCTGAAGGTAAACTTTGGCTGAAGATACAAAAAAAAGAAAGGGTGTACCATTGAGGATTGAGGGTGTTCTTTTTGTACTCTATCATGATTGTCGAATCAGGACCGGAATAAATGAATATAATATACCTACCTAATACAACTTTGCTAATACATGTAGCTACACAAATCCGTAAATGTCAGCCTGGTTTTTTTGATGGTTCAGTTTCAATTCCGAAATATCATAGCATAGTTTACTTATTTAAAATTGCCTTATTAAAAAATAATATCGTTAGAGTGCCAAAACTCTGAAATGTAAGCTCGCCCAACCAGAAAAAGATCCTCGGGTCGACCCGGAAGGCCTACATATAATGGGACGGATCACGAATCTATTTGAAAAGATGTAACTACCTACTCTCAAAATACTTCATACTTTTGTCACATTTTGTCCCCAGGCAGCGCGGGTACCTGAACTTTTATAACTTTTAAGAGATTTCGTTTTATTTTCGTTTCAGTTTTTTTTTTTGCAGTTGTTTGACAATTCACTTCCCTTGACAATTTTGTTGACCCATCAAATTTTATTTTAAAAGTGGCTACAACCAGATCGATGATTTTTTTTGAAACTCAGGACCGTATGAGGAAATATCGTCAATAATAGTCAATATTCATTTTAATTGAAATTTTAATAAATATTGTTTGCATTTATTTGGATGACTTGGACTTCAGTATTTCGAAGTTTCGCAAGGCTCTATTCTATAAATTCACTCTATTTCAAGACTTTATTTGGTGAGCAACCAATTTCAATTTGCTCCAAAAAATACATCAATGTGCTATTGACACAAAATATGTATTGAGATTTCGCACAACTTGCGCTAAGTTCAGCCCGTTTAGAAATTTATGATGGGTTGCCCTGTCAATATTATTATTATTATATCTTTTACCTATAATGAAAGAAATTTCAAGACCATAAGCTGGAAAAAGAAAAAGTTATTAACATTTATTTCATTTGGCACTATGGAATTTTTCAAAATATCTGAAAAAACTGTGCAGAATGAAAAACCACATTTAATGGAAGAAAAATTGAATAAATTTAATGATCTGAATATTTTTTTTTGAGAGGGAACAAAAACACATATGACAAGAAAACCATTTGGACAGGAGCCTACCCAGACAGCACACAAAGTCTTGAAGACGTCCTTTTTAGGTCTGCATTACATCTGAACGTCTCAAGACAAAAAAAATAAGATGACCTAAATACACATCTTAAAGACAACTGAGCCACACTATTTCCTACAACCGGGCCTGAAAGTGAATAATGGTTTGTTTATTCAAGATATTCAAAGACGTCGTTTAGAAATTTCGTTAAAGACCTCTTTAGAATGCCTTAGTTCTAAAGACGTCTTTATAGGCAGACGTCTGAAAGAAGTTGGGTTTTGTAACATACGACGTCTTCAAGATGTCTTTAAGACGCCTAAAAGATGTAAGCAAGACATCTTGAATGTCGTTTGGTGGACATCGTAGGCACGTTTTTAAGATGTCTACAAAAATTTCCCACAGAATTCGTTTTTCATTCAATTTAGAAGTTACTGGAAACCATTTGGAATGCTACTACACTGGAACTGGAAATTCTGAAAATTCAATTCAAAATTTCCAAAAGCATTCTGTAGCGCTTCAGAACATTTTGGAAATTTCAGAACCATTATTAGAATGCCTCAAAACATTCAAAAGCCGATTTACAATTCCCAAAAGCATTTTTATAACAATTCAGAAGTTTGAAACCCATTTTAGGGTGCTCCAAAACACTCAAACACTCTAGAATCTCCAGAAACATTCTGAAAAGCGTCAGAATCGTATGATTCAGGTTGGAAGTCACAAAACGCCTTGTAGAAGGCTTTTAAAAGACCGAATTTAGATTGCTGTAGAACTTTTAAACCTTTAATGATCAACCAAAACAGTTTTTTTTTTTAACAAAATCCTTTATTAAAGCATGATATAAAATGGTAAATTTCATCATTATTCCTATTTCAAATCCAAATCAGAATTTTCAGGAGCATTTCGGAACAATTTAGAAACGTCAGAGTTTAGAACAATTAGGATTTAAATAAAGAAGGCTTTCACTCGTTCAATCTAGTAAAACAGGTAACCCACTCAGACCCATTGTAGGTGCAATAGATTCGCCCACATACAACGTAGCAAAATACCTCTCCACTCTTTTTTAGCCACGAATTGGCCAATCGAGTTAAAGACTCCACTCATTTTATCAAAAAGATCAATGACATCACTACCAAACGACATTCTGATTAGTTTTGACGTAGTCTCGCTGTTTACCAAGGTACCAGTGAATCAAGCCTTAGAGTATCTGAAAGATGTTTTTCCGGAGGAAATCAACAACTTATTTCACCACTGTCTGATGAATACGAACTTCCAATGGCAAAATGAATTCTTTGAGCAGGCAGATGGAGTCGCAATGGGGAGTCGACTCAGCCCGGTTATCGCCAACTTCTACATGGAACACTTCGAACAAATGGCACTGCGAACGGCCACAAAGAAACCTACTTGTTGGTTCCGCTATGTAGATGACACTTTTGTTGTTTAGAACCATGGACAGGCAGAGCTCGAATACTTCCTTAATTACCTATCTAGAGTCAATAGAACCCAGGATACAGTTTACGATGGAAGTTGCGAAGGACAACAAAATTGCATTCCTCGACGTCCTCTTAGAGAGAGATTACCCTCAGGTAAACTGGGACACATAGTATATAGCAAGCCGACGCATACGGACAGATACCTCAATAAGAAATCCAGTCACCATCCTAGGCAAAAGAGAGAAGTCATTAAAACTCTATCTGACAGGGCAATCCGGATTTGTGAACCCAGATACCTTCAGGACGAGATGCATCACCTAAAATTAGCACTTGAAGGAAATGAGTACCCCAAGCAGGAGATAAATAGAGCCATAAGACCGAAGCAACAGCGCACAAATAATAAGCAACTAGCACAGGTGGCAGGGAGAGCCTTTCTTCCCTACATCCAAA